GACAGTGGCTGCGACAGTGGGATCGGCATAGGAACAGTGTGTAAGTGTGACGCAGGACCGGGCAGTTTAGTTCTTTTGTGTGTAGGGTTGCTGTGGGTTGGATCTGACTCAGTGGCACCTAACAGCTGCAACAACAGTCACAGGGACCCATAAACTTTATTGGGGGGGCGGGTGTAGGCTTTGCAAATGTAATTCATTTAAGGATCTTGAGATGAGGAGATAATATTCTGGACCCCAAATACAATGACAAGTGTCCATAGAAGAGCTATGGAGGCAAAGACGATGTGAAAATGAGGCAGAGATCAGGAGTGATGGGGCTGCAAGACAAGGCAGGTCAACAGCCATTCGAGGCTGGAAGCAGGGCTTCTCCACTTCAAAGGGAGCCCGGCCTTGCCAACACCTGATTGCAACGTCCAGCACTCTGAAGGGAAGGATGGGTTCTGTCATCTTAAGTTACCAGGTTGCGGTGATTTGTTAGAGCAGCCGCGGGAAACTGACAAACACCCTCTTAGGTAAGTGCTCAAAGTGAACATCCTCTCTAATGGAACAAATTAAAATCATGCACCACTTCCTGGGACACTGATGGGGGACGATGAAGGACGCAGCATCACAGGCACCCTGTCAAAGACAGCGTGCCTTCAATCTGATCATGGAGCATGAAGCACGCTCCATGGACTGTAATCTTCAAGTGTCAAGGTTATGAACCAAGGACAGACTGAGGAACTTTTCTGCAATGAAGGAGACTAAAGAGATAAGGATCACTAAGAGATGAAATGGATTCCAAAACAAGTCTTAAAGAGACAGGGCAACAAAGGCAAAGGCTAACTCTGGGCCAGATATTTTGTTATAAAAGACATTGTTTTTTTAAAAAAAGACATTCTTGGGACAACTACCAAAATCAGAAATGAATCTGAGCACTACTAGTATGAATATGTCCATGTTAATTCCCTCATTTTGATGGCTGCCTTGTGATTATTTAGGAGAATGTCCTTGTTTGTAGGAAACACACACTAAAGTATTCAGGGTAATGGGGCATCCTGTTGGCAATTAATTCTCAAGTGGTTTAGTGGGAAAAAGTTCTTCAGAATGTACTTTCAATTTTTCTGTCAATGTGTGGTGCTTACTTCAAAACATTTATTTTAAAGAGTAAAAAGAACAATGAAAAAGATACCAATCACATAAGTGTTTGCATATGCTTATGGTCACAGACGAAAGACACAGAGGTTCAGGAAATCCACAACAATCATTGTATGAAGGAGGCAGAATCAAGTGTAAAGATTCTCTCTGCTTTGAAGTCCTGTGAGTTTAGTTCAAGGTGTGCTGAGACGACACATGACAGGCCAGGCATTGTGCCAGGTCCTATTGTTGTTAGGGGCTATCAAATCAATTCTGACTGATAGCGACCCTATATGACAGAGGAGATCTGTTTCATCGAGTTTCCTGGTGACAGGACCAGATTGTCTGGTGTTTCCTCTCATGAAACCATGTAGTGTGTTTGAACTGCCAACCTTTCGCTTGGTTAAGGAGCCAAAGGCTTAACCATTGTGTCACCAGGGCTTCTTTGTCAAGTCCTAGGGAGACTGAAAAAAGTAGCAATGCTGGGTTGCAGACTTCAGGAGGGAATACTGTGGGATGTGGAGATGTCCTGGATGGATGGTATCTTAGGCTGGATCCTTAGAGAAACAAAACCAAAAACCCAAACCCACTGCCATCAATTCAGTTCCAATTCATTAAAATAACAACCCAAAACTCTCATTGCTGTCGACTTTACTTCAACTCATAGTGACCCTAAAGGACAGAGTACAACTGCTTCTCTGGGTTTCCAAGGCTATAATTAGTTATGGGAGCCAAAGGTCTCATCTTTTTTCTAAAGAGAGGATGGTGGGTTTGAACTACTGATCTTGCACTTAGCAGTCCAACCATTTCACACAACCCACCATTCCATCTCCTAGTGACTCTGCTTAGGGTTTCCGAGGCTGTAAATCACTACAGAAGCAGAGATAGTTTCAACTTTCTCCAGCAGAGCAGTTGGGGGGTTTGAACCATGGACCTTAAAGTTAGCAGTCTAACATTACCACCAAGGCTCCAGAGAGAGAGAGAAAATCTCAAGGAATTGGCTCACACAGTTATGGAAGTCTATGGGTCAGGCATCAGGCTGGAGACTTCTGCTGACTTACATGGTTGCAGAAGCTGACAAATCCAAAATTGGCAGGTCAAGTAGAAGCAGCTGGCTCACATTCTGAGAACTGGAGGTCAGGTGATGATGAGTCAAATTCAGGATTGAGCAAGTGAGTTTTGCCAGAATATTCATATGTATTGGATGCAGGCCACATACCCCTGAGAAAACTCTCTGATGACTATTTGGCTGATTGCATCAGAGAAACGATTATATTACATTATTTATATTATAATGGAAATTCAATCAATCCAATGACTGCTAAACCACTGAAAAACATAACCTAATCAAATTAACATATAACATTAACCATTACAGACATTGAGATGAGACCTAATCCAAATGAGGGGGCTGGGGTATTGGGGGTGAAGTTCTCTTGAGAAAGGGATAGTTGTGGTGTGGTCATTTTGATATTCCCTTAAGAATAACAATAATAGCTGTTTGGTGGCATATACTTGTATAGTTTCCTTTTCTCAGCTGTGTTTTAAATTGTACTCCTTTGGCTAAACTGCTGACAATATCAACAGAATTACCTTATGCCTCAGGAAGATAATTTATAATGTTTTCTAACATAAAATTACAATGATGTCTCTAAGGTGAACCAAAGACATATATGAACTATAGATATATGAATGGTATTTGAGCTTGCACTTAATTATAGCCCAAATCTAAGAACAATTCGTTCTTTTTTTTTCTTTTTTTAACATTTTATTAGGGGCTCATACAACTGTTATCCCAATCCATACACACATCAATTGTGTAAAGCGCATTTGT